CCAGACAGAGTTCTCGTTGTCCAGGACTTCTTGTTGTACAACCAAAAGACTGACAGCTGGTGTTTATCTTTTCCCTTCAAGACTCAGAGATTAGCAACTTTCTGGATAAGAGCAGCCTGACCATAAACTTGACTGCATTTGGACACAACAGGAGAGTTAGCCCAACGCTTCTTGCCTTAAATCCTGGTGCTCATTTCTCTTCCTTACTAATAAATGTCCTTTGTGGCATTTTTTTTTCCAGAATAGGGCACTTTTGTCTGTATTAAACGCCTATTTGGGAAGATAGCTCTTCTCTTCAATGATTTTCTTAATAGCATATAGGAACTGGTCTGCTGTCTCTTTGTTAGAAGAAATTGCTTCTCCTGTTACCTAGATATTTTTCAAGGCAAACTTCTCTCTAAAATTATCAAGCTAACCTTTGCTTGCATTAAATTCTCCAGCTTTAGATTCTTTACTTTTCTTTTGCTTTAAGTTGTCATATGATGACTTTGCTTTTTCTCTAAACATATTAGAGTCTACAGGTATGGCTTTCTTATAGCAATCCTGCACCCACACTAAAGCTGCATTTTCAATACAAGATTAAAAGTATTTCATAAGAGTGCGAGATTTCCACTCCTGCTGGTGTAGCTGCAGCCACCGCTTCACAAATTTCCTTTTCTTTTTTTACAGTGGTCCTTACACTGGATTTGCTTATCTTGAAATGGTGGACAACTGCAGCTGCAGACCCCAATCTATGACATGTATCAGGTAATTCAACTTTTTCTTATACAATCATGACTTTTCTCTGCTTCTTAGGAGCACTTCCAGCATCACTAAGGTGTGATTGAAGGTTTACTATATTGCACCAAACACGACGAAAAGTACAAGAGAACCCAAAGAGATCACTTTTTACCTTGATACACAATTCCTTAGCATCACACAGCATTTAGGCGAATACTCACAGCAGGTGAATTCACTGCAATAGCCACTGTAGGTGGCTACAAAATTATTATAGTAGTACAGTATGCACTACAGTTAATTTTATGCAGCTACAATTTAATACTTTATTATTACTTTTTAAATATTTCTACTGTAAGTGGTGCCATGTATGGTCTCTTTGCATAAGTTTTAATAGATGTTAGCTTTCTGTAATAGATTTGTGTATATTTTATGGTAGTAAATCATGAAATAGACTAGAACCTACATATATTTTATGGATTCATGATATACCCTTTTTTTCTTGGCTATACAGTTTGTCTGCAACTTTTTTCAAATTGTTGCAAAACAAAAAATTTTCCAATATATTTAGTAGAAAAAAATCCACATACAAGTGGACTCACACAGTTCAAACTCATGTTGTTTAAGGGTCAATTGTACCATCTATTTTTAACACCCTGGAAGGAAATAAGATCAGGCTTCAAACAAAAGACTCAGGGTATAGCTAACAAAGATTTGATAGAAGTAGCAGAAACCTGATCAAGCCAAGGTAATATTAGAGAATCTAAACTGACCTGTAAATAAGGAAGAATCGCACCCTGTCAGCCTCCTACCTCTCTTGGCTCTGCGAATCCAGTGTCAGTTGCTCTTTCTCTCCGATTCAATAGAATCAAACAGAGCTTTCACAGACCAGGGGAAGAAGCTAAATGATTTGCCTGCTACTAACATGTTTAGAGAGAAATTCAAATCTTCTGGCTTTAAGTGTATTACATTACTCACCATTAAATTACTGACCATATTGTCGGTTCATGGCATATTTGGGTTGAGGGGTTCTTATTGATCAGTGACTATCTTTCAATGGTCATTTCCCAGTTTTGGTTTCTACATAAACCTCACTACTGGTCAGCCAGAAACTCAGCCCACTCTTGTTGGCCAGATTTATTCCCATCAAATGGAAAACACTTCTGGTTTAATAGGAGCTTGCTAAGAAAATGCAAGGGCAGAACAAATTGATGAACAAGTACTAATCAACCCAATTTGGTGTGAATTTCCCATGAATAAAACCAAATCTAAGTTCCACAAAATATCTTGATGACTCATTTTTATGGGAGAATGTGTTGTAGTCCCAGAGCTCTTTCTCTGGACATAAACACTCTTAGATTTCTGAAATAATTTGCACTTTGTACAAGATAGACTCAGCTAAAAGGAACTATAAAAAAGTTATTAAATTGTTTGACTAGTTATTCTACTTTGACACCATGAAAAGGCTAATTCATAAGATATTTTCAATATTTGAATAATTTTTAGAAGTTAATGGTTTTGAAAGTGTACCATATAAGAAATAAGGGCAGGCTTTTTCAACTTTTGATTACCAAATGTGAGACCCTGTGAAATGGAACCCAATATGGCCCTGTTTTAATTGTCTATATTTATTGTCTATTGTATCCTGGGAACAGGGCCTAATCCAGAGACATTTTGAGCTCATCAAATATGTAAATTGTTTTTCAAACACTTTAGGGTTACCACAAAACCTAAATTGTTTTTAGCCAACCAAGCACTTTCTCTCTTTGGTTTCAAACGCCAATTGTTTTTTTTTTTTTTTTTTTTTTTTTTTTTCAAGAAAATTTACTTCAGATGTTTCTGATTCACTTGCACTTAAAAAATTAAAATGCTATTTTGCAAGAACTGATTGGTGTGCAAGAAAGCTCTTGAATGTCTTGTCTAAGCTTCTTTAAATCTGCTTTCTGAAAAACATGAAGCCTTGCTTTGCCAAAATTAAACCAAGTACAGTGGCACATTTGGGTTGAGAGTCTGATTTCAGAGCAAATCCAAAGCTATCCATTTGGAGAGGGGTGGATCAGGCCGAGGCATCTCTTCCAGAGGCTTTGCTGAAAACTTGCTTCTAGGCCCAGGTAGATTTCCAACACAACATGCTGGAAGGGAGTGGTAAAGACAGAGAAGGTTTTATCACAAACACAATGGAGCTTCTCAGTCTGGTAATATTTATTGTTAAAGATAATCTTGCTTTAGTTGATGTTCATGGATCACTAACGCTTCAAGCTGAGATTTTTTTGAACCGTGAAAGTTCACATGCATATTCCCAGGAATCTGCAGTTCTCTATCAGGACTTAAGTTTTGGGGTTTGAGGGCAAGTGTGACTTCTATCAATATTTTCTCAAAATTACTGTAAGGATATTCTGCATCATCTGAATGACAATCTTGGAGCCAATAACCATTGCAAAAACACATTTTTGTTTGAGAACACCATCTGGTTACACCAACTAGTTATATTTTAACCACCTCCTACTAATGAGTAAGGCATTGATTGCCACCTTTCCTTCCAGCCAACACTATCATTGTGAGGACTCAATGGAATAACAAAGGTAATGAAAATCTAGCACATTGGAAGCATTCCATAAATAGTAGGTACCATTATTTTGCAGACTTTCCTCCAACAAATGACACTCAACAGCGTACGGCTTTTGCTACTTCTTAAGGTGAACCCATTACAGATAGTCTGTATCAAGTTATTACATCTAAGTGCAATATCATCAGCCCAGGTCATATCAGTTTCCTGAGTTTCCCTAGGAGGTTCTAAGAATGTCTCCCTTTGACCTCTTAACTATGGGATTCAGAAGGTATCCTGTGTCCCTTAACAAATTCTCACCTGCAGCCAGACATATAGCTGTTTTTAGGGAAATTTAAACCACCAGCCATTGGCAATGAATATTCCTGGTGTCCATGAGGAAGGCGTGTCATAATACATACGTCATAATCCAGATTACTTCATGGTTAACAAAAGAAACTCTTCTTAAAATTCTGAGGTTAATCACATGAGTTTCCCTGTCTTCAAGGGAAAAAAAATCTTCCATGTCTCTGAAAGTTTTCTCTCTGGCTTCCAGATGAACCCCCAGCCTTAAGGAGTTCTGGGGTTTTGACCTTAGTTACACTAAGGTCACACCATTGACAAAAGGCAACTGGACATAGACAATAAAAAGCCATTAGTGAGGATTCTACTGGCTGATGCAATTGAACAAAAATGTATTGAGCACTTATTATCAGTCACTGTGTTTGGTGCCATTGAAGACAGAAAACAGCGAGACCCAATGTGGCACCTGTCCTCAAGTTAACTTGGCTTGAGGAAAGCGGATTAGATAGAAATACAATTAACAATGCAAGTCAGAATGTGAAAAATATCATGAAATACACATAAAAAGGTCTAAGGTGGCATAAAGGGAAATGAAAGCATGTGAAGAACAGGCCATCTGAAATGCCTCTAAAAGAGTGGTAATATTTTAGAGTGAAGGACAATTCCATAAGTGATTAATTCGTTTTCTACTCTCAACAGTTTACCAATTAAGGGGTTCAGGCAATATCTTTGTATACCCAGCTGTTAGTGCCTGGAGCATAATAAATGCTGATTAATGTTGAATTAACTAATGGAATCATCAATAAAGTTTTTAAACTTAATTTATACTTGGAAGGTGCCAATAAAGGTTGAATAACTGAATAAGTAAATGAGTACAGTACTCAAAATAAATTCACTTTTTGGGAAGATCACATCATCTACCTACTCATTTACCGGGGAAGGAAACTGAAGTGCAGAGAGCTTACTGATGGGACTGGCCCTGCGCACAGGGCTGGAGAGCGGCAGAGCCAGGACTGGAATCTCAGACCTTTGATTCTCAGTGGCGTTTCCACTCATTCCAGGAGCTACCACTTTGTATTATCTGAATTCATCTGAATTCTGCTAAATAATCTCTAATTCAAATATTTATGATGTTATGTCAAAATGGAGCTTAACTATGTCAATTCCTTTATCTCGCAGCTGAAGCCAAATTGATTTCTCCACATCACCATGGCAATAGGTGACTACTCTGTACAGAAAGCCAACTCCAGACAAAACGACTTCATAATTAGCTGTGGGTCCTGCTGATCAGGCTGGGCTGGGAGAAGCTGGCATGGAGTCTGGGGCACCCCAGCCCCCACCCATAGGGCCACAGTGTCAAGGGTACCTGTCCCCCACAGAGCCACAGTGTTGAGGGTGCAGAGATGAGTGGAGCGGGAGCTGAGGGAAGCTCAGGTTCACTGAAAGGATTGTTTTATTTTATTGAGTTTTGTTTCATTTTTTTACAATTGATATTCACATTTCAAAACAAAAGAATAAGACTTCTGGTAGATTTCCTCAAAGGCAACTATTGAGAGATTTGCCAAAGCCATTGCCCCAGGGGTTGGTTTACATAAACAAGGGCATTGGAAAGCCATGTAATCTAAACTTCTCTCTCTGGCCTATGCCAGCATTTTAGCTGCCAATAAGTAGACATGCTTTTTGTTTCCAAAAATAAAAAGTGATTATACTCTTGCTACCCAAGTCTACCCTTGGCCACTCCACAGACCATCACTAAGAGAAGAGGGATGCACTTTGTGGTGTTGTTTTTGGAAAACTCCTATTTAGAAAACTCTTGAGGGCATGCTGTCATGAAGGCGCTGGCTGCTGTGGACAGGCAGTGACCATCTAATGGAGCCCCTGGAAGTACCTTTCCTGCCAGGGACACATGGCTTCCATTAGTCAAGAGCTTATGGCTGGCTTTCTGACCTGGAGTCTCTCCCATTGTCTTACATATCCAGTGCTGCTCTAGCCTGGACATGAAGGTAAAGAAGGAAAAACATGGAAAATGGAACATCTTTTGCAACTCTGAAAGATAAAAATATCCTAGATCACTCACAGGAAGGACTCAGAAATGTCACCTTTCTCTTGAAATTACAGTAAATATGGGAAGTTCTGAAATCGCCGTTTCAAACCATTTTTCTCTGATCCTCACAGGAGTCCACACTCTGTCTTCTACTCAGGGTGACCAACTTGTCCCAGTTTGCCTGGGACGTTCCTGCTTTTAGTGCTGGAAGTCCCTTAACGGCCCACATACAAGGAATGCCATCTTACAAGTAATAAACATAGAAAAACAGGAAATAAGAGGAACATCAGGCCAGCCTCCACTCCTACAGGCACCATTCAGAATTCTCCAAGGAGGAAAGGATATTGTCTTCTAGACTGGAAGTTAGAAAATGAGCATAAATATCAAGAGTTCTAATAATAGTCTATTGTGAAGGATTTTGAGACCCTTGCACTGAACATGACTTGTACAAGAAATTTCATCATTACTTTTACATTTCTGAAGTTAATTTGCTTCCAAATGAGTAGTACCAGTGAAACGCTCATTCTGCATCACTTCAATCTCTGTTTCTCTTGTCACACTGTATGACCTTCTTGCATTCCTCTTTCAAGGACATTGGGCTCCCTGGATAATCTCGGATAATGGCCCTATTCCAAGATCCTTAACTTAATAACATATGCAAAATTCCTTTTACCTTGTAAGGTAACATATTCATAGGTTCTGGGGATTAGGACCTGGACAGCTTTGAGGGGGCCATTATTCTTCCTACCATAAGAAGGGAGAGGCTAGAGATGGGAAGGGAAGTGGGACATGAAATGGTAAATCAAGATGGCTTGGCCTCTTCGATAGCAATAGGGAAGATTTCTCCCTGAGACCTCTACCTGCTAGCTATTCTCCCTCTATAACAGGAGCTAATGCTCCTCACAGGCATATTTCCATGAAGAATGCTAGACATTCCCTCCATGTCTTAAAGGTGGGGCCAAAATCTTCACCAAAACTCCAGCAGGCAGCTATATATTTTTTCTAATGTAGATATTAGAAACAAAATCACAAAACTGAGATGCACAGGAAAGAAGAGATTTAATTTGGGGGTTTTAAAATGTGAGTAGGTCATAGGTCCTCTTTTCATCAGTGTTGTAGCTATGCTTCTGCGGAAATGTTGTAGAGTTAGAGCAACTATTTTATTCTGTTAAGGATAAACACTGAAAAAGAAAACATGTATACAAATGTACACACAAATTACAGAGTGGGACTTGCAGCACTCAGCATGTTGAATGGTACGGATAAAATGAACCAGAGCTATTTTATACCAGAGACCAATATAAAACAGAGAATCCCCAAAGTTGGCCGACATGAGGGTTTTGCTGACGTCTTAGCAGAAGTTCAAGGATGCACTTAATCATCCAGTCACTTGGCAGTCTGAGGCTTCCTTACTCTCCGTTATCCCTGAGGAGCTAAGCAACAGTAGACAGTGTCTTCATGCAAGGGGCACTGAGGATAGGCCTCCAGTCTCACAAGGCTACATCCCTGCCCAGAAAGGAAGGAATCCTGCAGATTGGTTATAAAGATCTCTATACAGGGCATTTGGTGTGGAGATAAACATAAACCACGTTTTTTCCCCTATAATTATGTTTACAATCTTTTAAAAATTCAACTTCTGCAGTAAATCTAAGTGCCAATGTGAGAAGAGCTAAGCTGTCCGTTTTCACTTTGCCAATTTCCACAAACAGAAACAAAGATTTTTTTCATGTGTGCAAGAATTCCCAAATTTAGTCAAGACTGGAATTTCACTGTTTTTATTTTTATAGCAGCAGTGTAGTGCCCATGGGGTGGGAGGAATCAAGAAATGGAAAAAGAGACAATTTTCCATTAAAGACAATAATGGGGGGGCGAAAAGTTAAAAATCACAACATATTTTCGATTTTCTTCCTGAGTGGTTCGGTCAGTTATTTGGTCAAGCCCATAGAAGGATGTCAAATAATGCTGATACAGGGACCTTGAAAAATCACCTTTTGTTTTTGTGGAAAAAGGAGAGAGGAAATTGAGGTGAAACTGCAAAATGTTTCATTTTTTTTAATGAAACCAGCAAAAGAGAAAGTCCAGCAAAAGAGAAGGTCCTCTTCAGCGCCAGTGCAAATGTTTTTGCAAAGTTCAACTGCCAAGTGTCCTTTGACGCCTGCCAATTTTCATAATTGAAAGATACCTTTTTAAATGAACTTGCTGGTTTTCTATTGGGCTAGAGCAACCTTCCCACATCTGGGTCATTCTCTTTCCTCCAGCAAGACCCAGTTCCTTCAAGGACTTCACTGAAGATTTGTGACTTTAGAAGGCATGCTGTCATGAGAACACAATGCTCAGTGCCACATTTTAGACCAAAGGGATTTTTCATCATACTTTAAGACTTTTTACTACCAATTACATGGTGAAATGCAAACCAGTAATCTCCAAGCAGTGTCAGACAATCAGTTCATACATGAGAACCCTACTTGGTCTGCTATGAATAAAACCAACTCTCGCCTTGTTATTGAACAACTTTGCATAAAACCTGAACTGGAAGAAAAACCAAAGAAGTAGAGTGAAGGCAAACACTAACATCTATAAGAAAACTATTATTTTTGTAGGAAAGGCTGCAAAAAGACACTGAAAGTGTGTTTTCATTGCACTTCATCAAGTCATTTAATAAAACTGCCATTCCTAACACACTACTGGCTACTTTGGAATTGTTTTCACAGTTACTCAGCAGGAAACTAACATTTGAACTTACCAATCTTTTGAGTTGCAAATTCAATTTTAAACTTTTTATTTAAAAAGCCTCAAGAATATCTATCACTCCAGGCAGAGGAACGATAATAACATTAAGTTTTATGAATTATTACTTTCCAATCAAGGGTGACAGACTTGCTTATAAGAACAGGGTGAGACTTTTCATAAGCAGTAGAGTTCCATCCAAGTTCTCCTGATTCTATTTTGCCAAAGAAAGGAAAAGGATATTACATTTTAAAATAAAATTCCTCCAAACAAAATCTTACCAACACTTAATGTCTGTGAGTTCTTGTGGTGGCTTTATGTTGTAAATGCTAAGGTTTTATATTACTTATATAAGCTTTAGTCTCCAATAGAGCTGGCAAACAAAACCCAAGAATGCTGAAACAGCTGTAGTACTGTATCTGAGTCATTTGGACCAAGACAGGCATGGGGGCTCGAAGCCGGAACAGTGTTCTTAAAGCCCACTGCAACCCTTAGCTTTTCATTTCAGCTTCCAGACAAAGAACTAGTGATGGCTGCTAATCTCATGAACACTCAGTGAGGCATACAAGTTGGATATTAAGGCAGGAACTTGCTAAAATTTTTAAAGGGTCACTTCAAAGGAAAATTCCACGTTCTTAGAATTAAATCCAATTCCTTAGAGGCTTTGATTCTATTCTTGCAAAGGGTGAATCTTACAGATATCCAAACAGCCAGCGCCAGTCAAGGAGAGATGTATTTTAAATAAGAAAGCCACACAAGGGTGGCTACAAATCCTTTATATTAAACTGCATTAGTCTATGCTTTCATTACTTCAGAGTCAGTTTCAGAACTGGCCTGAAGTTTGGCAATCAAATCAAGGATGAAAAGAATGATCATTTAAATAGTTTAAAACAAACTGTTTATTAGTCTTTTAAACATAATTTAGAAGTATTTCTCCAATTATAAATCACTGACATGTTAATTATAAATAATGCTTAAAGAGTGGCATTCTAATTATAAATAAGGCTCATCTGTAGATCTTCCAAGACCCCCTGCAAGGCAGCTGTTCTTTGCATACATAATTTAAGTTACTCAATGCGTGAGAAGGTGGTAAACTCTTTAGCTTTAAACATAGCGTTTTAAAATATGAATCTCGCAAATTCAGGTTGCCTCATTTCCATTAGCCTAAAAGAGTAAAATTTTTACTGCAGTACTTTAATGAACATTTATTCTCAGACTACCACCTCATTGTGAAACATTAGGTAAGTTACTTAACCTCTCTGAGCATAAATGTATTCCTTCAGGGAAATATTAGTGCCCATTTGATTAATGAGTTAATGTATGTAACGTGCTTAATAGAATACATGGAACAAGGTAGGCCCGTAACAAATGATAGCTATTATTGATATTAGTTGTAATCATAAAAATGGAATACGGTAGATTCGGCTGATGTTTTAAGCCACTAATTTAGAATTTCTCAGATTTTTTGAGCCATAAATCTATAATAATTAAAAATGGTTTTGACAAGAGCTCAAGAGGAAATGGATCCCTTGTTTGCCAAAGGGACTCGATAACTAAGGGCTGGGTATCAGTGAGGAAAGCCATGTGAGTGAGGAGATTCACAGACTCGGGCTGATCATTGAGATGAAATCACATTCCACCATGTCCCTGGCCACCTTTTCCTCTATACCCCAAATATGCAGAGAATGATGGTCAACATGCTAATATGACAGCTTTGAAAGGCTTGTGCCCCTTCACGTTAATTTTCTTGAAACCTCAATTTTCTTACTCTCCAAGGCAGCTTTCCAGCCAAGGAATCTATGAGCTAGTCAGGTAGAGGTAGTTAGGTCCTTAATCCAAAAGAATGTCAGGTTCCAGTGTCAAAAAGGAAGAGAATCTGAAGCCATTCTCACATGCACCACTGCCTTTCCTAGGGAAAGAAAGATTTTGGTGGTGGGTGCTATGAGTGTGTGTCTCTACTCAAAGAATTAGTGAGGGTCTTTTGTCCTTAAGTAATTAATTAGAGAACAGACCTTTTTTATTAAAACGTATCTCCTAGAAAGATGTTTTTATATCTTACTGAGCTCTTTCCACATGCCAGTTTTTGCTCTACATTCTACCGAGGAAAGAGGAGTGATAAGACGTGGGTTTTGTCCTCCACTTACAAACTCAGGTACCATGTGCAGGACCTATTTCTATTTGCAGCTCCAAGTCTTAGACCTATGGGTATGCCTCTAACCTTCACCTAGAAAGAGACGTCACCACCCAACATAGAGCTCTTTTTTATGCTTTACCTTGCTTAGGAGGAGCTGTATTATATAAATTTCCTTTGCAACAAAGATATTCATCTGTCAGACAACGGTTTTATTTCTTAAAAGTGAGTTCAAACAAGCCTCCAGAGATTTGATCAAAAAGAAAGTTAGCTTTACTTCTTCTCAATTATGGTATATCTTTTAAAAGGGATAATTTTTTGAAATATAATTTTCCTTTTCTAGAAGTTCTTCCTCAGCTCTGCAACTTATTTGCTGTGAGAGATCTTGGCCAATTTGCTTAACCTCTTGTGCCTCAGTTCCTGCATATGTAACATGGAATAATGGCGCCTGCCTATAGGGCTGTTGTGGGGGCAAAAATGATAAAAGGTGGAAGTCTCTTGGAACAGTAATTGGCATGTAGTAAGCATCCAATAAAGATCAGCCATCATTATCATTGTTATTTTACAATTACATTAATATTGGTTGTAGTATTCTCCTGCTAGTTTGTTAGGCAGACACGTTGATAGAATGTCACAGAAGAGTGAAGTGGTTCTATACGTATTGTAGTATCTCCTTAGTAGACCAGAATGCCATTAAACCCTTAGCCATGCTATGTACCTTAGAGAATAAAACCACTGAGCAAGAGTATAAAAACTTTATTTTAGCCCCAGTTCTTCTAAGCACTTGCTGTGTCATTTTGGACAAGCCAATTGCTAGGATCAGCAGGTGAAAACAGAGAATGCTCATCTAAATATAAATTTCATATAAGTAACATAATTTTAGTAGAGTATAAGTATGCCTCATACAAATGATAAAAAGTTATTCATTATTTACTTGAAATTTAAATTTAGCTGGGAGACTTGCATTGTAATTTGTTAAATCTGGCAGTCCTGAGCTTCAATCTCTTAATAGATAAAATAATGATACTGAATTAGGTCAGTGTTTTCCTAACCCTACAGAACATTTTCTAGGAGATCTGTTTCAATAAAAAGAATCCATTCTCCAATTAATTAGGGAAATGCAACAGGTTGTTGTCCCCTTCTAGAAATTTACAGTATAAAGTAACATATTGAATGTTACAAAAACCCTAGCAGTAAATAAACCTCCTTGACTTTGTTTAAGCCACATTTACTCAAATTGTTTCTTCACGGGATTGTCCCTTTGCATTTATAAACACCTCTAGAACACGTTTTGAGACATGACAGACTAGATGATACCTAAGGATGTTTCCATCTCTAAAAGTTTAGGATTCTAAGGATCCGAGATTGAAATTATGCAGTCTTAAAGTACTCCCCAAGAAACAAAATGTAAGTAATAATAATCTAGTTGGTACAAGGCATCATCCATTCAGACAAAATTTCTAAGTAAAAGTCAATACCTGGTCATGACTAGAGTAGGTGGTGCTACCAGAAACTGAGAATAATGATCTTTTCACTCCATCTATTCAACACTCAACATAGTATCAAATGTAGCAACGAAATAATGTTGAACATTTTGTTTGACAGTAATGTCTATCAAAGTGACATTGCATTCAGTCAGCATTGTTTAGAGAAAGAGTAACGGCTCAGCTGACTTCATTTTCCACCAAGGTTGCCAGGTGAGTTAAACTAAATTCTGTTCTTATCAATTCAATATAAGTTTAATAAATAGTGGCTCATTTAGGCGTGATTAAAACGGAACTTGAGAATTCCTTTTTAAAAACATTTCATTAAAAGGATAGAACTTGAAGTGATTTCAGTGAAAATGACAAAGTAATGACTTCTGAAAATCCTCTCCCCGCCCCATAAAAGCAATGAGAAAACCAGCAAAAATTGTCAGAATTAACTTTTTCAGAAGTCTGGAAAAGAACCAAAAGCTTGCAGCAATCCAGAGTGTTTATTCAGAAAAATGGCTGAATCGCAGTAAGCACAGAGAGCTTTGTGGCATTTTAACTTGCCCTATTCCAATCCACTCTACCTCCTCCAGCTCCACAGTACATATAAAATCAACAACCCACAATCACAATGAAAAGCAGCAGCATTATAGTCACTGGAAAGGGCAAAACAAGGTTGGAGTTTCTTCAAATCCCCATTCCCAGAAAATTACAATGATTTGACCTCTCTGGAGGTTCCCTGGAAGACCCTAATCAAAAGGTTGTCCTTAAAAGATCTGCTTCAGGAGTTATCTAATGCAAACAATCTTTCCCTCCGGGGCATTTGTTGAAAACAATCTTGAATATGGCAGCTCCTTGAAGCAGTAAGACACAGTTGATACAAACAATACATTAACCAAAAGGCTTCAAAGGAAAATCTGAGATGTTCATAGGGAACTTTGAAAAGCTCTGATATATTCCTGGGAATCTAAAAGGCTACTTGCATATGTGGAGCCATGTGTAAACTCAGGACTACGCATATTGTCAGGAAAAACAGAGAATGCCCTGTGCTCTCAGTTCTGGCTAAACTTGAAGCTTTGTATAAGCATGAAGTAAAGGCTGAGGCAGAATTGTCAAGTTCTTGACTGAGTGTGGAAGCCATGCTCCAAAATGTACACAGAGCCTCTCAACAAAAACTTGGGGATTTATTTGTTCTAGGCATGTAAAATAATTTCTGTCTGATCATTATCTGACCACTAAGCTGAAACTTCAGTGGCTACCCATGACAATAACAGCAACAACAAATGCAGGCTTTGCAGAATTATTTCAGAAAACCACTACCACCAGCAAACCCTAGAAGGAGGTAAATCTGATTTTCAGTGCCACATCAAATTATTTTAAATATCCAGCTTTCAGAAAAAAAAAATAGAACATGCAAAGACAAAGAATAGTCTATATACAGAAAAACAGAGTAACCCGTGGAAATTACCCATGAGAAAATCCAGCCCTTGGACTTGTTAGACACAGACTTTAAGTTAGAAATTTTAAATATGGTTAAAGAACTAAGGAAACTATATCTAAATAATTACATTAAGTATGAGAATGACATTTCAGAAAATAGAAAATATCAGTAGATAGGTAATTATGAAAATGAACTGAATAGTAATTCTGGAGTTGAAAAATAAATAATTGAAATTAAAATTTCCTACAAGGGCTCAACAACAGATTTCAACAGGCAAATGAAAGAATCAGTGAACTTTAAGATAGGGTCCATTGAGATTATCCAGTCTAGGTAATAGAAATAAAAGAGAATTTTAAAAATAAGCAGAGACTCACAATCAAGCCTAAAAACATGCATAAATATAGTCTCAGATGTCAAGCATAAGGGGGGAAAAATTAAAAATAATGACTGAAAACTTTCCAAATTAGAAGGAAAAACTCAACAAACTTGAAATATGATAAAGTCAAAGAGATCTATACCTAGATACATCATAATGAAACTGGCAAAGGACAAAGAAAGAACCTTGAAACTGAAAGAAGGAAACAATTTATAAGGTCAAGGGATTCTCAATAAAAATAACAAATAATTTTTCATGAGGAACCATGGAAGCCAGAAGCAATGGAATTACATATTCTCAATGTTAAAATAAATGTCAACCAAGATGTTGACATACAGTTTTATATACAGCTTTTTTTTAATATTCTTCAAAAAATGAAGACATTCCTAATAAACAACAGTGAGGATTTATCACTAGCAGATTGCTCTACAAGGAATACTAAAGATAGTCCTTCACACTAACATTAAAGGACATTAGATAGTAACTCAAATTCAAATAAAGAAAATAAAGAGCATTAGAAAAAGTGACTACATATGCAAGACTGTATAAATATATTTTTTATTTGTAACTCTCACTTTTCTAACTTATTATTTAAAACCCTTTTAAAGCAATAATCATGAATCTGTGTTGTGCACATACGATGTATAAATTTAACTTGTATTACAATAACAGCACAAAATTCTGCGCTGAAATTTTAAATATAGTCAAAAAACTAAGGAAAGGGAAGTTAAGACATTTCTAATAAACAACTGAGAGGATATATCACTAGCAGACAGCTCTACAAGAAATACTAAAGGTAATCCTTCAGACCAAAATAAATTTAGTAAATAACAGCACAAAGGAGGCAGGAGGAAATATAGCTATATAACTGCAAAATTTGTACATATTATTGAAATTAAGTTTATTTTAATCTGAACAAGATGGCTACAAATTAAGACAACTGAAAAAAGTTGTGGACTGGCATGTCAGCAAGATAGCTGTCTAGACTTGCCTGGCATCCATCTTCCCCCGCAAAAAGGGACCAAAACAATGACTAAAACCTCTATTTCCACTAGAGTGAATGAGGGAGTACACTGGAGAGCACCAGGGCAATTGCGAAATCCTCATGGAGCATAGAAACTCAGAATAGCACCATAGAGAGGGGAGCGAAGAACTCTGTCTCAGCCACACTGTTTTCCCTGTTGAGATCAGCTCAAAGCCAGGATGAACTTCTTACGGGAAGAGGGCAAGCTATAGCTGCCCAGCAGTCCTCATCACTGCTGCAGCTGCCTGTGGCTTTTGCTACAGGAGAGGTAGATAGTCTTCGCATGCCCTAAATCAGTTAGGAGGGTTGCCTAGAGTTCCTGTAATGGCATTGCCTCAAAACAGCAGCCCATTTGGTGTGTGCACACACACCCCATTCTCCATACTAAAGCTGTATAACACAGTACCGTCTTGAAACTGGGCCCCACTACTAGAGTGAGTCCTACCCTGGGATCCAGTAGCCACTATGTCTCCGTAGCCCTGAAGTCAGGCCTTCATTCCAGTATTTTCACATGAGTGGTTACATCACCACTACCCTAGCTGCTTGGAGCCTATTGCTGTGTAGAATGGCTAAGATTTTGGTGTTCAAAACCATGGAGCACCCAACTCACAAGGGAAGGAATAGGTGGACCTGCACAGGAGGGAAGATGACACACAGGTGGACAATCTGATACACAAACACACTTGTCCTGCCCGCCAACCCAGCAACCCCTACCCCCACACCACCTTACCCAGGAAAATCCTACCACTGCCATCACAAACCAACAACCTAGGCCCTGACAAAATTGCAGACACTATGAATGAGGATTTCAGCTAAAGAAAATGCATAGAGACCATGCTACTGAGTCCATCTAAAACCAAAGCCAACGTACCATACTTAAACAACATCCTAGGACTCAAGTGCAGGAAACAGTCTCTCCCTTTGAAAACTAATCCATAAAATTTGAAAAAATGACTGTTCCACTGGTATGCACAGTTTCTAGCCAGAGCAATTAGCAAAGAAAAATAAATAAAAGGCAGCCAAATTGAAAAGGAAGAAATAAATCTATTTGCCAATGACATTATATAGAAAATTTTAAGGAATTCACAAAAGTCTAATAAACCAGTTTAGCAAGGTTAAAAGATACAAGAAAAAAATAGCATACTCAATATTTTCATACACCAGCCATGAACAACCAGTAAATAAAATTAAAATAATTTCATTTATAATAGCATTGAAAATAATAAAATAATTAGGAATACATTTAACAAAATAATTCCAAGACTAGTATACTAAAAACTACAAGATAGAATTGAAAGAAACTAAAGACGACTTAAATGGCTGGAAAACATCTTGTCTTCATGGATTGGAACACTTAATATTGTTAAGATAACAAACTTCCTGAATTCATCTAGAGATTCTGCACCAACTCTATCAAAATTCCAGCTGCCTTCTTTGCATAAATATATAAGCTAATTCTGAACCTCATGTGGAAATTCAAAGGGTTCGGAATAACCAAAATAATCTGAAAAAAAAAAAATTAAAGAACTAACACTTACTAATTTTGAATGCTACAGCACAAAGCTATAGCAATAAAGATTGTATAGTAGTGGCATAGGATAGTCACATTTATCAATGGAATAGGATTGAGAGTCTGGAAATAAACTCATACATTTATGGCCAACTGATTTTTTACAAGAATGTCAAGACAATTCATTGGAGGAAACAATAGTTTTTTAAACAAATGGTGCTGAAAAAATTAGATATACACATGCCAAAGAATGAAATTGGATCCCTATCTCATACCCTATACAAAAATTAACATAAAATATATCAAAGACCTAAATGTAAAAGCAAAAATTATAAAACTTTTAGAAGAAACCACAGCTGTAAAATTTGTGACCTCAGACTTAGGCAGTAGTTTGTTAGATATGACACCAAAAGACAAGCAAAAAAAGAAAACAACAGATAAACTGGACTTTATCAAAATAAAAAACTTTCACTTCAAAAGATAAAATAAAGAAGTGAAAAGCCAACCCACAGAATAGGAGAAAATATTTACAAATTATTTGACACTCAGTACCATCACACCCAGCGAGTCACTGAGTGCCAGGGAAAAAAAATATTTACAAATTATATACTGTTAAAGGTCTAGAATCTAGAATATATTTAAAAGCTATTGCAACTCAACAATAAAAAGACAAATGACCCAATTAATAAATAGTCACAGGATTTGAATAGACATTTCTCCACAGAAGATATGCAAATATCTTGTATAGACATTAAAAGATGCCTGATGTTAGTCATTAGATAATGTAAATCAAAACCATAATGAGATAACACTTCATATCTACTAGAATAGCTACAATAAGAGGCAATAATTAAGTATCAGTTTGAATAAGGAAAGACTGGAACTGTCATACAATGCCAGTGAAATATAAAATGAGAGTTACTTTGGAACATAGTTGGGCAGTTTCTCAAAAAGTTAAAGATAGGGTTACAATGTAATTCAGCAATTTTATCCCAAAGTATCTACCCAAGAGAATTTAAAACATATATTAAAAACTTACACATATATATTCCTAACAGCATTAATTATGATAGCCTAAAAGTGAAAACAACCCAAAGGTTTATTAATTGATGAACAGATAAGCAAAATATGGTATACTCAAACAATGTAATATTATTCAATCATAAAAGGAATGAAGTTCTGGTTTATGCCATGACATGGATAAGCCTTGAAAACATGTCTAAAGCAAGTAAATCCATTGTAGAGGCAGAAGTAAACTTCCTTTCTGCCCTTTCTGAAGGTTCACTGAAATAAAGTGACAAAAGACAGGTTAACAGGAAAAAAAAGCTTACACATTTATTAATATGCATAACCATGGGAGCCATACAAAATATGAGACTCAAAACAGGGCCACATGGTTGAAGCTTAAATACCCTCCTTATTAGGGAGAGAAAAGTAGGCAGCTGTAACCAATTTTAGAGGGGTAGTAAGTTATTTTCAGGGGAAATGAATGGACTCAGGAGGCAAATATTATTTTTTAAATAATTGTCTTAGGAAACTGAATGGGACTGGCAAGTTAAGGGAAGGAGGGCAGTGGAACTGCCTTGTGAACAAAGGTTGTCTTAGTATGTAGAAAAAGCCTCCTAGGTAATGTCTCCAACCTGCCCTCAAAGGAATAGATGAAAAGTCTAACTGTAGGTAGTGATAACTTTTACAGTCTCTTCTTTTCTCAGGTGGTTAGTCTTTCTGGATTATTTGACGAGATTCCTGTAGAGTGGGTCTTAAGACACTTACATTTCCTTTGAGAACTTTCCTTAGTTAGATAAGGAAATTCCAGAGATAGAGTCCCTCCTTGCTCTTGGGGTCAGGGGAGAAGAAGCAAAAGAAGGTTAATGTTTTTGGTTCTGAGGCAGCTTCTAAGGTAACTCCAACTTCATTTAATTCAAAGTGCTTAGTATGCCAAAGCACCACAGTGTAGGATATCATTTTCTGAGACCCAACACCACAAATACTAAAAGTAGTTTAGTGGTTACCAGGGATGGTGGAAAGAAGTAATTGGGAGTTGCTAATAATGAGCATAAGTTTTCTTTTGGGGGTGACAAAAATGTTCTGGAATTAGATCATGGTGACATTTGCACAACTTTGTGAATATACTTAACAATTGTACCCTTTAAATGGATGGCTAGTGTATGTGAGTTACATCTAAATTAAAACAAAAGTCTAGAACTTGGCATATCATTCCAAATATTCAAATTAGAAGAGTCTGCTTTTAAGGTAAATAAGAAGTGGAGAGTGGTCACAAGGTCAAGAATGGAGGCTATTAGGAAATGAGAAAAATCAGAAATGAGAAGTAGGGAGCCAACCCTTCACAATTTTTTAGGTGAGCAGCAGAGGGAGCCCTTGATAGCAAAGAAAATTACAAAAAGAATGTTTATACTTCTGATCATAAAGTTAATACAGCCTTTTTACTGAAATTTTGAAAAAGTACCACATAAATGTAATAAAAACCTACTAATCATTCCACCATCCTAAGAACCCTATTAACAGCTCATTGATGCAGATCCTTCCAGTCTTTTTTCCATGTGTACATACGTACGTATGTACGTATACAGCCAAACCCACCCTCAGCTCTCTTGTACATGCAACTGTGCCTCTTTTTTTCACTTCATGTTATGTTTTATATTTCTTCCAAAGCCTTAAATATTCCTAAGAACGTGGTTTTTCATGACTACAGATGTACTGTCATGAATTAAACCTATTTTTAGAAATTTTCAGTCACAAGTAACACTGCAATAAATATCCTTATACCTAAATCCTAGTATTTCCTAAAAATATATCCTAAGTAGATTTCTTAAAGAGGAATTATTAGGTCAAATATTGTTTACATCTTTAAGTCTTTGAATACACACATATTGCCACATTTCTAACTAGAAAATTTAAAAGATTGTTAGACTTCCACCAGCAGAGGATGAGATTTTCCTTTAGCTTGAACCTTTACCCAACTATATAATTACCAGGGTTTTTAAATTTAAAATATTTGCTAATTTAATGGGCAGAAATTGCTGTCTTTTAAAATTATTTTTAAATAAATAGTGAGCCTGAAATTTTTTCACGATTTATTTCTAACTTTTTTCTGCTTGAACAAATTACTTTTTAAATGAATATTGAAATTTCTCTGCTTAGGATATTTATCTTCTAATCATTGACTTCGGAAGCGCTTCATGTATTAACCATGTTAATTAACCTTTGTCTTCTATTTTGTCTTTTTTTCAACTTATTCTTTGCCTTATGCTTTTTTTAATGAGTTTGGATGTATATGTTTTTAATTTTTATGGAAAAAGATTCTGTCTCCTCTTTTATAGATTCTTCCTCTACCTTTTTGTTTAAAAAGTACTCCCACACACTGGGAGTTGATGGATATTTACCATAATTTCTTCTACTCATTTGTGTTTTCATACTTTAAAATTTAATTATTTAATTCATCCAGAATTTATTTAGGGATAGGATTTGAGTCCTCTCCCTTCCTTAAAAAGTGAATTAACTTCATCAGCACTATTCATTGGCATAATCTTTCATTTCCTTCCATAATTTGAAATGTCTTCAAATACTAAATTCTTATATACATTTGGGTGTGAATGGGGACTCTATTCTGTTCTGTCTAGTCATATATCAGTATCATTTTATTAAAGCTTTATAACAGATTTTTAATATCTGAAGTACAGTTCCCCTTATTTCTTTATAAATCTTGGTTATTTTTATCCACAAATTATTCTAGATAAACCTTACAGTCACATTTTCATTCCAAAATATTCCAGCTGGGATTTTGATTAGAATCATACTGGACCTACCAATCAATTTCAGAAAAAGTGACATTATCCAATAATATAAAATATATCTCAATTTATTCAAGCCTGCTTTTATATTAACTAAAGTTTTACAACTAAATTCATAGAGGCCCTGTATAAACAAACAAGTTTGTTTCCAGGTTTTATTGTTCTTGTTCTTGTTTGTTTGCTTTGTTTTTCACCTGTTGTAAGAGAGCTCTTTTCCCTCTTTACAATTATTCTCTGATTATGAATATTTTTATATTTTGCATCCAGGTATCATAGTGAAGCATTAGTTCTAATAGCTGATTTCTGAGGTTTTTCTAAATAGGTTATCCTTAAGAAATTATAAATTCTCTACATAGTCATGACTTTGGGATCTCAAAACCAATTCAACCTGTGGAATTACAGCTCTTATGCTTCAAATGCATAACTTGTTTTTCTAAATAAAATCGAAAATTAAGTGTGTAAAATGACCAACTAAAAAGCACAAACAACTCTGAAATATACAGATTCTACTCCTCCACTTGGCTCTTAAAGGGTTAATACTTGCCATGAAGAATTTTTTTTAATCTAATAAAGAATTCAATCCAAAGTATTCTTAAAGAGTCATTAATGACTCAAAATGTTCTTTGGTTTTTATACGGCCCCCTAAATTGTGGTGTTTTTATAAGTTGGGTTTATTGAGTTATAATTTACAGACAGAATTCACCATTTTCAGGCACACAGTTCTACAAAGTTTGACAAGCATATACAGTTGAGTAATCACCACCTCAATCAAGACAGAATATTTCTAACACCCTGAGACATTCTCTGTGTCCCTCTGAAGTCAATCTTTTTCCTCTCACCCTCAACCCCTGGCAATCTC